TTTGTGCCCAGGCCTAGTTCAAGGTGACATGTTCGTCTGGTGTTGTTACCAATGTTTCTGGCATGTGCAACTTTTAAGCGTGTTCATGTAACAGGGAACAGCCGATGCAGTGAGGAAATACTTGTGATTGTTTGAGGAGCTCAATGTTCTGTAATCATTTGTATCAAATGGACTATGAGAAGTTCATTCAAGCACACAGAGAGACTAATGCTGATATCACAATGGCTGCACTACCAATGGACGAGCAAAGACCCACTGCTTCTGGGCTCATGAAGATCGATCAGGAAGGACGCATAGTTGAATTTGCCGAAAAACCAAAGGGGAGCACCTAAAGGCCATGAAGGTTAAGCAGAAAAAATACTTCATTTAGTTCCCTTGTTCGTCGCTTGGGCTTCTAAATAAACATTTGATTTTTGGCTTCTAGGTTGACACAACAATTCTAGCCAGGTCTTGATGATAAGAGAGCCAAGGGGATGCCTTACATTGCCAGTATGGGTATTATGTTTTTAGCAAAGATGTAATGCTGGAATTACTATGGAACAATTTTCATGGAGCTAATGACTTTGGAAGCCAAGTCATTCTCGGTGCCACTTCCCTTGGACTGAGGGTGAGTGCTTTCCCTATTACCCATTATATATATCCCCAAATGATGATATCCATCTTTATAACATGTACTATGTATTCCATTTGTTAAACAAGTTTTTGTTGCCCTTTTGTTTTACAGGTGCAAGCTTACCTATATGATGGCTACTCGGAAGACATTGGTATGATAGAGGCATTCTATAACGCCAATCTCGGAATCACCAAAAAAACAAGTTCTTGATTTTAGGTACAGCAACCACATTACCAGTGGTGGATATAATACAATCTAATTATATATGAATTCTTGATGCGGTTTCTATGATCGTTCCACACCGATCTACACGCAGCCACGTGATTTACCACCGTTTAAGATGTATTAACATATAGAGTCATAGTTTGTTTTTCTTAATTCTACATGTTTACTCAAGTACCCTAGTGTAAATATATATCCTAGTGTAAAATTTACTTTGGAAATGAATGAGAATTACTCTTTATTTTGAAAGTTAATAGGTAAATTGATATTTTTTTTGTTTTTCTCATTCCTTTCTCGGGAAAATTTCCCCAACAAAAAATGTTCTTCAT